GGAACTGGACAAGACTTGGATTATTTCTGATAACCTCAATAGCCTTCCATCCATCGATCTTTGAACATATTTGCCAACTGTGTGCATTTCACATACCGCTTAATATGCACATGGTCATAATATTTTTAAACGAGTATTCAAAAGCTGATGAGAAGAAGTAAGAAAAGCAAGGTGGCTGGCAAAGTGCTCATTGACACGGTTCAGTCAAATTAACACAACTACAGCTAATGTTCTCCAGTAATATGCAATCACGCCTTGGTAAAATTCTGGACCATCCTGCTAATCTATAGTGATTTAGACATTCAAATACAGCCAGTTTGATGTTGCAAGAACATTGAGCACACTTTGACGTGAAAGAGGACTTTATTTCGTGTGACGATCGACCCAGCAGAGGAGGCGGAGTGCTATTGTATTACCGATCTGATCTGCGCACCGATATCATCGAAGATCCAGATACGCAATTTGTAGATTCACTCTGGCGCCGCCCGCAAGTGAGATGCGTTGCTGTGTGCTTACTTGTCAATACATACCGCCTCCCAAGGCTTACCCAGGAAATAGATAATTGCTTGACGTCTACTAGCAAGCGAATCCCAACGCGGTCATACAGTCACATCCTTTTAATGGGGGACTTCAACCTGCACGCATGCGAAATCCAAGCTTCGTTCAGCGAACAGTGCAAAGCGGACTTACAGGAAGTAATCGCCGATATACCCCCATACAGCCACATCACCGCTCCCACGAGCTTCAGAACTGGCGACGAACCATCTGTCTTAGACCTTGCGTTCGCCAACGAGGAACTAATGATTGATGCAGTAAACATAAGTACACAGCTTGGCCGTAGCGACCACCCGACTCTGCTCTTCCGCTACATCTGGTTTGCGAAATATATCTGCGAAAGCAGTGACGCAATGAACGCTGTCACTCTCTGACCTCATTCAAGAAACTAACTGCGCATTTTTAGCTGAGCAGTCTCCCGACGTCGCCTGGAAGGAAGTTGTCACTCTGTCCAGTGGGCTAGTGGCAACCGCGTCTGAACCAGTCATCCGCCAGAGGTAAATGAATTCCTCCTTGACGAGTAGGACTCGAAAATCCATGGTCATAAGGGATTCGGCCTGGGGCGCGAAAATCACCTAATTCTAAGTTGCTCTAAAGGCACGTAAACAAACTCCGGAGAGTGCAGCATGGAATCCCAATGCTACATGCAGTAAATAGTCTGACGCTCACTACACAAGATGTGGCGAACACGCTATGCAACGGTTTAACCGCACTTCCCAAAGTGATTCGTCACCTCACCCGTTCATGACACAGCTCACTTCGGTCCCAGGATTAAGCCACATATTCCTCACCGTTGCGTAGGTGACAACAAGTTTACTTGCGCGTGCACGGCCCTCCTGGTGTGGAAAATATCAGACTGGAGGCGGAAAAACAGTAGCCATGAACCTTGCCGTCCCGTTGGCCCAGTTCTTCCAACGAAGCCTTGGCAAAATGCAGTTTCCGAACGTGTGGAAACAGTGCAGTCACTCCTATCTTCAAGAGTGGCAATCGTGCGGAATCTCGCAACGACCGTCCAATCACCTTACTCCTAGGCTTGTCCAAAGTTATGGAAGTATTAATCGCAGAGGCGGTCATGGGATACCTTGAGAGCTCAATATCATAACAGCATGGATTCCACCGAAATCTGTCCTGCACCACAAACTCGTTACTAGCCCGAGCAAGCTGGAGGAAATCAACCAACGTCAGACAAAGAGTTGACTTCTATAATACATTCGATCGCCTAGACCACCGAATATTTCTTCACTAACCTCGAAGCTATGGAATCAGTGACCCTGTGCTAGGTTGAATAGGCAAATTCCTCAGCTGGATATGCGGGTACGCAGATCCATCCGCGACCCAACTGAAGTCCAGTGGGACCACGTTTATTCCTAGAATTCATCGACGATATCGCTAGGATGCTTGAACCAGACTACTTACTGTTTGCAGGTGACGCCAAGATCTGGCATGACCCGTTATAAACCAGTGTTCGTTGACTGTCGTCCCATCAAGTCTGCCCTTCCTAGAATAATAATGATAATAATAGGTATATTTCTCTTGATGAGAGAAACTTTGTCCATAGCGGCACAGATCAATCTGTACAGAAGAATCCATGCTTTTGCATGGGTGACATAAATAGGTGGAGTATTGGGATATGCGTTTTATGTATTAACATTCTGGTGGATGGGTAAGGCCGAAGCCTACTTATGAAAACACTGGTGTTTTTATGTTTTTGGATCCCTTTTGGAATAGCACATCGAGGGATTTTTCCCATGTGAATATAGTGCTTAGGGTAGTTAAATCAAGGTAATTGGCGAGTCTGCTACTAAATGTTGCCACACTGTCACAGGACCTGAGTGTTATTGGTAGTTTATTCCACAGATAGCTGTATCTGACTGGGAAGAAATTAGAGCAGACGTTCGTTCTAGCCTTAGATATATTGAATGTAAAATATTTGTTGCCAAGCGCTCGAGTTGTACAATGTTACAAGTTGAGTGTAGGCAGGTTGGAATAGATCTTTTTGTGTAGGACGTTGAAAAGCAGTAACAAGTTTTGCTTCAATCGTGGAAGCCAAAGTGGTTCGACATGAAGTTCATTGCAACGTTCTCGATAACTCATTGCTGAGTGTTTACCAATCAGATGTTTAGTAAATGACTTCTACAGGTTCTCCACAGCAGTTCTGTCACTCTTTCACATATTTCCGTATGTTATGCAGCAGTATTCGAGGATGGGACAAATGTGTAGCTTGAACAGCTCAACTCTAGCACGAGTTGTGTGTAATTTGTTTGATATACTGAACGTAGACTCTCTGGCACATGCTACTTGGTATTGGGCTTGTTCGGAGAAATTGAAGGTAGACGAGTACCTAATGCCAAGATCTCGCGTGGACAGTTGTGTAGGGACGCGTTCATTGTTAGGGTGATAGATCCTTCGATGATGCAGCAGCCGTAAGACATGATGCCTGATTTCTTAGCCAAGAGGTTCATCACCCATGCGCAGCACCATGACTCAAGGGAATGTAAATCATCTTGAATGAGCAGTAATGTCCCGTGAAGCTCGTCACGCGGAAACTTATAGACTAATTTGATATCGTCAGCAAATAAAAATGATGTACCATATTTTAGAGATGTGATGATGTCATTGAAGTAGAGCAAAAAGAGTAAAGGGACGAGCACGCTCCCTTGAATGACCCCACCGGTGACTGAGCGTGGGGAATAGCGATAATCACCTAAAGTGACTATCTGATGACGAGCACTCAGGTATGATGATAGCCAACCTAGTAATGGGTCGCGGATCCCAAAGTTCTACAACTTTTGTAACAGTCGCTTGTGCGGTACTCGGTCGAACGCTTGGTGTATGTCAAGAAACAAGATCATTACTGCATAGCCGGAATCGATTAATTCTGAAAGATGATTAAGGTAATGCAGTTGACAGGTGATGCACGATCGCTTACTGAGAAAACCATGCTGCGAATTGTTGACCAGGTCAATAGAATTAACCAAATTTATCATCTCCTTTCTGACCAGTTTTTCAAATAGCCGAGCGATTATCGGAGTGTGGTGAATTGGTCGGTAGTTATCAATCATTTGTTTGGGACCTCCTTTATGCCGAGGCATAATAAATGACGTTTTCCATTGGTCTGGAAAGTGGCCAGCTTTCAGCGATAGAGTGAACATGCTCATCAGGAGCAATGGTATATCACGCCCTCCTAGTTTGATGGTAGTGGGTGAAATGCCACGAGATCCCAGCTTTGAAGATGGCCTGATTGATTTGATAACTTGATAGATAGCGTTGAGCGAGATATCGACTCTGCTTAAGAGGTTTGTTTCTGTGCACACAGGCACCGGGTCAGCTTCGCGACTCATGGTAGTGGCAAAAAGTTGCTAAATGCTTCACAGATTTCAGTTGGGTCGTGGAGTGAGTGACCCTCACCAACAATTTCGGTAGTCAGAGGAGACCGGTCACTGGTTCTACGATGCAGTATTTTGACAAGCTCCCTAGCTTTGCAGCTTGTCCGCAGGGCTGTATGTTCTTCATTTTTTCGTCGTGTTAATTGCGTGTGTTTGACTCTGTTGATAAATTCATGCATTTGTAAGACAGGTGGTGATGTCTGCTTAAGTAAACTGACGTTGATGTAGTTCTGCAATCATGCTTAGCACCTACTCAACAATCATCATCAACTGCCAATTGATTGAATGTAGGTCAAGGTTTTTGAGTGATTTTGATTTGTTAACACCAGCTCAAGGTGTACCAACACCATAGTAACAAAATTAGCAGATGTTCTATGCTCGGTGTTACTGCCGAAGCGTGTATCTTTAGTCGGTGTCATCGCTGAGGACCTTAGTAGAGATGATACCGAATTCATTCAAGCATAGCGGCTAGGATAGAAGCACGATTAGATTCCGTCCTCCTGAGCCAAGCTCGGTTGCTTTCTGCAATAAAAGGAGCCCAACTATTTAGATCTGAATGCCGTACTACGAAGATATGCCTCGGAGTTCACAGGAATACAAACCCAGGTACCGCAGCTAGTAAGCCCTTCAAGACAATCGGGCGGTAAAGTTCCCAATATTTAATACCGTTGGACTACAAACAAAGCTGTCTTCTACTGATTTCAACAACAAAGACCTGCTTGACACAGCGATTAATAACTGACTGGATGGTAATTTGAAGTGCTCTTTGTGTGACAGTTCTGTAATGCGCAATCTCAATGTAGACCGCGATTCTGATTAAAGTGGACTTTGGTCAATGAGATCACTGGGACCGGTTGCAGTGGAGTGATAGCCAGAGAGACATCGTATAAATTCACCGAAGAAACTTCCGCCTGGAAGGCTGTATCGAATGTTAATTAACAGATTCCGGGCCCAGAAAACATCTGAGACGAATTAAATCGGAATAGTCCAGACAGGTTTCTTAATTCAGGCTTCCATAATATATATGAAAACTTAAAATGTATGAGAAAACTGCGTAGTCGTTATTTGCAAAATGGAGGACAGAAGTCAAAGAAAAAGCTGAACGTAAATCCCCAGCGTGGATCGTGGTGATTCACGGGATCGGCACTCGGTAGAGACGAGCGATTTGACATTTCTGAGGCGTTAACATGAAAAGTGCCATACTGCAGCGGGTACGTAATATACTCGGTATACTTGGTGGTTTCGCTGGTGATGCTGACGACGACGATCGTTAACTGGTTCAGTCAAGACACAGACATTAGTCAAGAGAGCTCGAAGGAAGTTATCGTTTTTGGAATGATGAGATAGATAGCACAAAAAACAACGCCAATGAGAATACATGTCATGCTCGTTTGGACGGCGACAATATTCACAAAATGAGGAACGACCTATAATGCTCCGTTGACAATGGTCATTAAAATGTTTCGTCACATGGAAATTTCCGATTGTATCTAGAAAATTTTCAACGAGATAAAGCTATATCGAAGGGAGAAGTGTTGGGATTGGTGATTAAACTAAGTCATAGTCATCTGCTTGTCATGATATATGGGAAAACTGAAAAAGAACGTTGTTGAATCGATGGCTGGACAATGTGTTGTTGCAAGATCGGGAGGGAGGCTCAAGGTTGAGAGCAGTAGATTTGGCAGTCAAAGCGGAAGGGGTAAGTGCAACTGCTGGAGTAATATACTCAGCAACCAGGAGCAAAAGAGGAAAAATGATTACCTATGAAAAAGAGTTGTATGCGGCTTGCACAATGTTAGGATGCGTTTGTGCGATCGCTTAACTTCGCCCCAGAGGAAAATGCCTCTGTTGAACGGTGTGAGTTGAGCAAGCATTGTCATTTGCTATGGGGGAATGAGGATCACAAGATAAGTGTTTCACTTGCCTGCAGACAGAACTCTGAAATGAATCTTGCAAAATCTTTGGAGTATATGAAGAAACAAATGTAGAAAATAGGCATACGATGTATGCTGAAAGGAATGGGGAAATCTGTCATCACCGTCGTGATGAAATGCATTGATCACAATACGTTGCCTGAATGTTACCATCTGCATTCAAGAAACATGGTGCGAAAGGAATCCTGGGGTCAATGAGTTGCTCAAATCGCAGAAAAGACTTGGCATGAGCTAGACGGTGGTTGGTCATGGTCTTCACTTTTCTGTATTGATCGGTTGCCTACGAGGAGCAAAAAAGAAAAAGGGAAGCTGTTGGTGATCGATCATCTGTGACGCGAGTTATTTTCTTGGAAGCGTGAATAAGGTTAGTTATAGCAGCGAAAAGACTTCCTCCCCACGTCACTAGAGCTTACTATGCAAAATTCTAACTGAAATAATTTTTTGTTGTTGTACCCTTAGGCAATTAATGAGGAACGTTAGATTGCGTGTAGAAAATGGCCGCCGGAAAAGTGAAAACACACGCAGATCCAGTGGGCGGAGCCGACACACGACTGTAGCTCACGGTAGGCAGTAGCGTGTCCCATCGGTCATGTTATTAGCAAATAGGCGGAACCGCTGTACTCCGTGTCAATACACCCTTGATTCGGGACCACTGAGTTATATCTGAAAATCTCTACTGACGCAATCGACAGTGGTCAAAAGCATACATCAACTCCATTAAGCTGAACCAGATGCTTTACTAAACATTGATTTCTTGCAAGTAAGACAGCCAACATAGAAAGGGCTTGCAGGGTGATTAGAATGAAAAGTTCAGGATCAAAAGAACGACTGAGGAAAAAACATCCGCAGAATGAACATAATATTCGTGTAGCCATGTAAGTAAAATGTGTCCGCCTACATGTCTGGGTTTTGGACCAAACAATGAACTGGGTAAAACACTGCATTCCATTTGAATCGGCTAGGATGATGAGCCTGAAGTCCCCACCTACAGCTTCCACTAATAAAACAGCTCCCAGTCCACCCAAAGTAGGGATGCACAACTATTTTCCCGGTTGAATGCATCCCTAAACCAATTGAATTTGGTCGTTAACGCAACTGAATTGCATCCAGCGTATTGCGACGCACCATACGCACAGTGTCCTTGGAATTGAGCTAGCCCAAATCAGCCAATGACGGTAGATGTAATAACCCATGCATGGTGTACGGGGAAGACGCGTGGCCGTTCTTACCTCCATTCAGCGACAAGTAGCGACTCTGAAGCTATACCATTTCCCACCCGTTCTTGAATAGTTCAATTAAACTCGTTTGATCACGAAGCCAAACGGTTTGTTACCCTCTCAAGTTGGTGGCGTTCGCATGGGTAGTGATTGCGCGCACACTCTTATAGTGGCCTAATTGATCGACCAGCCACAGTCAATTGGACATGGGGATGGGTGTTGAGAAAAATGCAGGCATCCGCGGGATGACGGAGTGAGAATGCTAATGTCTAAGGACACCAACTACTGGCCAGGAAGTAAGCCGCGCCAATGTCACGGCCGATAGTCGGTAAATCAAATCGAAGTAATCTGGTCAACGATGATGACGTAAATGTCTGCGGTCTAGGCGCTTGCCAATGGTAACTATTACGAGGGGAACAAAATTGCGTTGCACATAGAATCGACAGGTCACAGTTGTCTGTAGTGTGGCCGGGAAGCCGCATGCGAACCACTGCGCATCATCAAGCTGAGTAACGCGATGACCGGTGCGCAATAACATAATGATTCAAGGAATCCTTTATGTCCCTGCAGTGCAGGACTCACTATCATCATCATTAAACACGTCAGCTAGAGGTGGGAAACATCTCAGCTACTGTGCCGCAATACATAAAGGAAAAGGAAAATAAATACAACAGTTGCATGTCAGCTACGCAACCAGCAACGGATAGGCATCGCTCCGGTAAGCTACTAGCAGGCGATTAGGCAAAAAGAAAAATTATTATGTTTTACACTATGTAATGAGATCGTAGGTGGAGGGGAGGCTAAAATGGATGGGCAGGGACAAAAAAATCACAGCACGAACGCCACTGAGGTCGGCTCCTTGCCATGTCAGCAACTGTATCCAGCCAAACGTGTTCACAGTCTTTTGGACCCCAACCAGGTAGCCGTGACGCTCCAACCGACGCCAGCTCAGAAGTGAGGGCCTTCAATCCTCTCGACCAAGTCATCGCTTGGTCACCCCTCCTCTTCTTCCATCCACATCCCCGGTAAGCAAACAACGCACGTCATGGAAGTCGGTGGGCTGGCATGCGCAACACGTGGCCCAGCCATCGGAGCCTGGTGCGTGAAATGACGGTGCTAGACAGCTCAGTTCCTTTTCCTGTGCCGTAAACGAGGCGCCGAACACGCTCGTTACTCACGCGGTGTTCCCACTAGATGTGAGCCAAACTGCGAAGGCACCGATGGTCGAACGTAACTAGCCACTTCATGTCCGCCGATCTTAGGGGCCAGGTTTCGCAACCGTACAGTAAGGTCGAACGTACCGCTGCATTGTACACTCTACCCTTCAGGGCGAGAGTAATGTCGTGCCGCCGCCAGAGGTGGCGGAGGTTAGCAAAAGCACTTCGAGCTATTGCTATACGGTTCGTGATCTCGTCTTCGATTCCAAGGGCACTGATACAACTTTCCAGGTAGTTGAATTTCCGAACGACTTCTAGCTGATCCCCACCAAGGGGCAGCGCAGGAGGCGATCCCTGCCAATCTTGGAGGAACGCTTTGCACTTCGATGGTGCAAAGCAAAACCCGGAAGCGGCTGACAGTCAGTGCTAATGTGTCCAGCCTGGCTTGGCACGTCTGGGAGCTGTCACAGATTTTAGCGAGGGCAATGTGATCTGCATACTCCAAGTCAAGAAATCGTTCTCCTGGGAGTAGCTCCACACCTTCCAAGTCATGTTTTGTAAATGTAGTCTCCATGACTTCGTCAATAACGAAGTGGAAGAGGAAAGGCGACAACGGACATCCTTGTCTCACACCGCTGGAGATATTGAAGGGTGGCGACAGCTTGCCGTAAGCCCTCATCTGCCCATGCTACCCGCGTGTAATGCTCGCATAATATTTACATATTTCTCGGGCACACCTTTCCTGAGTAGAAAATTCCAAAGGGCACATCGATCAACCGAATCGATGGCACCTTTGATGTAGAGAAACACGACTACGGTGGGCCGCCAATATGTGTGACGGTGCTCCAACAACTGACGCAAGGTGAAGATGTGGTCGATGCAGCCACGACCACGACGAAACCCGGCTTGCTCCTCACGAATCTGGCTCTCACGAGCTTCAGTCAGTCTGTGAAGAATTACGGGGGCGAGTAATTTGGAGGCGATGGAGATCAGACTGATTCCTCTATGGTTGTCGCATTCCGAACGCGAGCCTCCTTCAAAGATGGGAACAATAACGGAGCGGTTCTAGTCGGTTGGGACAGTCTCCTGCTTCCACAGTTTCACTAGTAATTCATGTAAAGCATCAACAAAAGCAGAGTTTCCGAATTTGAAGAGGGCTGGAGGAAGATCATCTGGTCCCGCGGCTTTATTCGACTTCAGTAGTCCGATCTCACGTTCGACTTCTGAGCGAGAGAGTGGATCCAAAGGGGCAGCCCATGGAGCAGGGCGATCAATGGCCGAAGAAGAATAGAACAATTCTATCCGATTAAATTGCTTTTCAAAATGCTCAGCCCAACGCTCCAAACGTGCTGACAAATTGTGGATAGGCTGTCCACTCTCGTCACAAATTGTTTCACTAACACCAGGTCTCCTGCTGCCCGTTTCCCCTATCAGACGGAATAACTTATGATGGTTACCAAAGGCAGCGGCCACTTCCATCTCTGATGCACGATGAGACCATCAAGATTCGCGATCTCTCTTCAGGCTAGCACGGAGTCTTGCCCGGAGCTCTTTGCGAGTTTCATTGTGTTCGCTTCCAGCCGGGATATGCCGGCGAGCGTCGATAAGTTCCAGAGACCGTGAAGAGACCCAATGTCCATGTTGGCTGTTAGACTTACCACATGAGGATTTGCCTGCTGCTAGTAAAGTCTGGCGAAAATGTGACCAGTGACCATCAATTGTCTCCGGTGAGCGCTTACTCAACTCGCATGTCAGCGTAGTTCGATACGCATTCAGAACAGCTGGCTTTGTCAGTTGGCTGGTGTCAATGCGCTCACAGCGTCGTCGTGGGCGTCCGCCAAAACACATCCGAAAGCCAACGTATACAAGTGCATGATCGGTGTCCACACATGTGCTCCAAATCGAGTGACAGTTCTGGATGCAGCCTCTCCAGTGGTAACTGATAGCAATGTGATCGATCTGCGTCCAAGCCTGGTTCGAGGCCGGTGGGCGCCAAGTAAAACCCAGCGGGTGCAGTGTCGGAAGTTGCGGAAGTGCGGGACTCGGTTCGTGCGTAGTTCCAGATAAAAATAATAAACAGTTGTGTTTCAAACCGATATCTTCCAATATAAGATTATTGAGAATTCATTGCAACATGCGCTGACAAATGAAAGTAGTTAAGCACGACCGGGAAAAGTGCTGAGGACGGGGTTCCGTATAATCATTCGCACATCCAGGCGTAGCCCGAATGAAAGCCTTGGCACGCGGTTATTGCTGGTGGCGTGGCCTAGATTCAGAAATAGAGAACTATCTAAAAACATATAGTCTGCGCCAGCAGTATCAGTCAAATAAACCTCTCGGTCCGGTACACTCAAGGCATTGGCCTGCAAAGCCATCGCAGCGCATCCATGCAGACTACTTTGGACCTATTAACGGTGTATTATTCCCGCTAATAATTGACGCCCATTCGAAATGGATCCATTTTTACCCCGTTTCCCACCCTACCACCGAGACAACTATTTCCAAAATGCGGTCATCATTTGCCATATTTTGGGATACCAGGGACACTCTGCACAGACGATGGCGCATGTTTCACTAGCAAAGAATTCGAAATTTTCATGAATAGAAGTGGTGTCCAGCACGTCCGTACAGCTCCATATTACCCTGCTTTTAATGGGCTAGCGGAA